ACGCTGCAGCGCGACTTTCAGTAGGCGCGTAAGAATTATAAGTTCCGAAACGTAAAAATTCCGAGTTTAAACGCGATATCCTATGCCCACGTATTTATTCTGACGACGCCTTGTAGTTTTTATGTCGATAGAGTGTCATTCGTGACGACGCTGCAGCGCGACTTTCAGTAGGCGCGTAAGAATTATATGTTCCGAAACGTAAAAATTCCGAGTTTAAACGCGATATCCTATGCCCCGGCATGAAGTCTGACCACGTCTCGTAAGATTTAAAGCGATAAAATATCATTATTGTTACGATGCAGCGCGACTTAAAATTTGACGCGTAAAAATTAGAAGTCACGAAACGTAAAAATTCGTAGTTTAAACGCAATATCCTATGCCCCCGGATTAAATCTGACTAGATTTCGCCAGTTTTAATGCGATAGAGTGTCATTCATGACGACGATGCAGCGCGACTTTAAGTTGGCACGTAAAAATTACAAGTCCCGAAATGTAAAAATTTACAATTCTAGAAACGATAAAAGGCGCGCTTCGTGCGCGCAGTTTGTGGTCAAGCATTGTATATTTTTAAGAATTTGTACACACGCGAAGAAATAATTGTATGCGCAACGTCAATTTAAAATAAATGTAATTTGTCACTCACTGATACGGTTCGCAACAGCAAAGTTGTACATCGCTAACTGTACATGTTAAACTGTAACAATACAAAAATGTTTACGATTATTATAGACTAATTATGTAAAATCCATTTCATTGTATTAAATATTCTTTATGTTGAATATTTCTGAAAATGGGTACTTATTAAAATAATTATATGTATAAATAGAATACTGAGTCTTCCCCTTTTAAAAATGAACTCACAAAATTTTATACGTATGGTTTTGTCTCTAACACTTATTCGAATGCTCGTTGGGATCATTTGAATAAATAAAATAAAAGCACAGAAGATATGATTCATTTTGCACAAGTAGCAAATAACAAAAGTGTAAGACACTTACCTTACGATTTCTCTGCTGTTGCCCGATGCCGCCTAGGCCTCTGCTCCTCCTCTCAGATTTTCTTGTTGCAGTTACTCTCACAACACTCGCGAAAATCGATCGCGCGAAATTTCGGACACTCCTGTACGCGATGTAATATATCGTGAAATGCAGTAAGCGACGTTCTTTACTTCCTGCCCGTTCGAGTTGCGAAGAACGACAGAGCGAATTACAGCGCGAACGCCGAAGTCGCACAAATATCTCTCTCTTCCGGAAAATGGAACAGATTACACGAAATCGATAGATAGTTAAAAGCGCGGTGCGTAAACGAGATGTAACCGCAACAACATACCACGTTTACTTTCATATTTTAGATGAGTTAAGCCAACGGCACACGATACTATTTTTCCTACTGGATTGCTTACAAGAGCCAATCAGAATGCAGAGTTTTCGATCAGATGACTTAAGGCTGAATCCTGATTGGCTCTCGTAAGGAATCCAGTAGGAAAAATAGTATCGTGTGCCGTTGGCTTTAGTCTCGTAAAATGTCTATGTACTCGTTAATAAAGAGCCGTC